GAATGGAATAGAATGGAATAGAATAGAATAGAATAAGAGTAGGAATGGAATAGAATAGAATAAGAGTAGGAATGGAATAGAATAAGAGTAGGAATGGAATAGAATAGAATAGAATAAGAGTAGGAATGGAATAGAATAGAATAAGAGTAGGAATTGAATAGAACAAGAGTAGGAATGGAATGGAATAGAATAGAATAGAATAAGAGTAGGAATGGAATAGAATAGAATAAGAGTAGGATTGGAATAGAATAGAATAAGAGTAGGAATGGAATGGAATGGAATAAGAGTAGGAATGGAATAGAATAGAATAGAATAAGAGTAGGAATGGAACGGAATAGAATAGAATAAGGGTAGGAATGGAATAGAATAAGAGTAGGAATGGAATAGAATAGAATAAGAGTTGGATTGGAATAGAATAGAATAAGAGTAGGAATGGAATAGAATAGAATAAGAGTAGGAATGGAATAGAATAAGAGTAGGAATGGAATGGAATAAAATAGAATAAGAGTTGGAATGGATTGGAATAGAATAGAATAAGAGTAGGAATGGAATGGAATGGAATGGAATAAGAGTAGGAATGGAATGGAATAGAATAGAATAAGAGTAGGAATGGAATAGAATAGAATAAGAGTAGGAATGGAATAGAATAAGAGTAGGAATGGAATAGAATAGAATAAGAGTTGGATTGGAATAGAATAGAATAAGAGTAGGAATGGAATGGACAGAACAGAACAGAGTAAGAGTAGGAATGGAATGGAATGGAATAGGAGTAGAGTGGAATGGAATGGAATAGAATAAATTTATTGCCATTTTGAATGTATACGAATTGGCATACATTAAAAAAAATGAAATTTCATTGCACACAGCTCCTAAAGGGTCACCACCTCCAATTTTACATTACATAAACATGACAAGATAAATGCATAACAAAATTATGTACATACCAACGTATACGACACAGAGAAACAACACAGTCTAGTTATACATGTTTATGGCAAGAAAAAACGAATCTTGTGAGTTCACCGGACAGATGCCATAAGGAACCAAGCTGTTAACAGAATCTGTAGTCCTGCTAGAAATCCTTCGAAACCTGCTTTGACCAACTGTCTTAATATTCACCAATTTGATCCTGCCTTCTCCACCCTGGAAGTGCTCAGAAATCACGGGCGAGATTTATTCAGGTTGAGCCTTTGCATTTTCCTTCTAAGCTGGATCTGGCCACCATGTACAATAGGCAAGCACAGGTGGGGTTTATGGAAGACAAGAAGGGGGCTTATATTTTATCTACCGCCTCTCTTTACAGGGTGGCAAGCAACGGCCAGGCTCCATCTGTGGGCAAAGTGCCAGGGACTGCCGACACGGCGTCTGAAGACCCTGCTGGGTGCCTGAGCTCCGAAGGCAGCTTGGAGCCCATGACCACTGGCAACGAATTCCTTGACAAGGCCCTGGTCCTGCACCTGAACCACTGCAACCGTTTGCTGCTAGTGAGTGTGAAGACATGTGTTTTTGTCGTCCGGCGTGCGTCTGTCCTAATCTTTTTAAAATCGGAGTTTCCCAATGGACTGGAATGACATAATTTGCCGGTTTATTTGGGAAATTCATACAGCCACCCATTTCACAAGAAACAGTACAACTGTAAAACAAACGAAGAGAACAGGAAACATACAAGTATGAGCCGTGGTAGACTGCAGTATTCCAGGCTAACTCTGCCCACTGCCAGGAGTTCAATCCTGACCGGCTCAAGGTCGATTCAACCTTCCATCCTTCCGAGGTCGGTAAAATGAGGAGCCAGATTGTTGGGGGCAATAGGCTGACTCTGTAAACCACTCAGAGAGGGCTGTAAAAGCACTACAAAGCGATATATAAGTCTTAAGTGCTGTTGCTGTCAAACTCCCAAGATAGCAAGAAAATAATTAGAATAGAATAGAATAGAATA